TGCGGGTGCGCGCGCTGACATGCGCGCCCTGGGGCTCCAGCTTGACGGGGCGGAGGTGGAGGCAGGGGGAGCCGCCGGACGAGGAGGAGGACCCCCCGGTCTCCATGCGCCTCGAGGTCCAGGAGCTTCCCCGGCGGCGTGTGAAGGACGGGGGAGCGGGGTACTCGAGGCGCGGCGTGTTGCCGCCCTCGATGTACTCGAGGACAGCCTCCAACGTGCGCCCGGGCACGCCCCACCACCGACGCCGGCCGACGGCGTTGAGCCTGCCGGAGGGCTCGACGCCGTTGGGGGCCTCGAGCTGCTCGGTGTGACGGCGGCGGAAGTAGGGCTCCCAGAGCGGGCTGTCGGGAACGTACCGTGGCCCCTCCCTCGCCGCACGCGGCAGGGACGAGCGGATGCGTGCGATCTCCGCACACCGCGCCGCGCCGGTGGGTATCAGGGGCACCGGCACGCCGCCGGCGCTGATCCTCCACGCCCCGGATACCCGCATGTCCGACGGGATCGGGTACTCGGCCTCGAAAAGGAGGCGAGCCTCGCTCTCGTGAAGATGGCGGTGGCCGAAGCCGTTCGCCGCCGCGCCGTCGCCTGGGAAGCGCTCGGCCATGGGTGCTGGAGACGGCGAGAGAGAGCAGAGGGAGGAACGACGACGACGAGAGAGAGGAGAGGGAGGAACAACGACGGCGAGAGAGAGGAGAGGGAGGAACGACGACGGCGAGAGAGTACGAGTCGCCGAGTGCGCTGGGGCGCGTCTTATATAGGCCGAGGCACCGCTCGTGCACGAGCCGCCGTGAGTACGCGTGGCGGGTGAAGGAGGGCGAGGGACGCGCGTCATCCGGTCCTTCACTGCGCCACCCGTGAGGCATCAATGGCGCAGGCTGACCGGCGCGGCAGCGCGGCAGCTTTGGCATTGATTCGCCGCGGGAAACGAGGCGATGAGGACGACGAAGGGGCGAGAAGAGGGTGGAGTCGCTGACGCGGCGGGCCCGCGGCTGTTTCGCGCCAAAACAGTTCGCCCCGGCGCCCCCAGGCGCCCCCCAGCGCGCCAGGTTCGCCCTGGGTCCGCCGGCGCTGTTTTCGGCCCAAGCCGACAAAAATCGAGCTCCTGGGGTGCGACTGGGCCGATTTTTCGGCGCCGGCGCAAAAAAAACGCCTAGAAAGGCCTTCCTGGGGCGCGGCTGGAGATGCCCTCATCCATCAGGATGGGTCTCACATGTTAACCCATGAGACCTGGTCTCATATAAAATTCTTTTTTGATGAATGCATGTATCAAAAATATGTTTGATGACATAAAAAGAATATTGTATGGCAACCAAGCATACGTGTACTGAATAAAAAATAGGAGGCATGCAGACCGTGAGGACGAAAAATGCATCGACGCTTGGACGCACCGTCAACACAAATGCAAAAGGGACAGACATATCGACCCAAACGGACAACTGACGAACAAAATCGCCGTAGGAGTTTGCTCGTAAGGGCATCTCCAGCCGCGCCCCCAACAGGCCCTCCCCAGGCGATTTTGTCGCGCCAGCGCCAAAAAAGCGGCCCAGTCGCGCCTCCAGAAGCCCGTTTTTCGCCGGCTCGGGAAAAACTGGTGCCGGCGGACTCAGGCCAAACCCGGCGCCCTGGGGGATGCTTGGGGAGCCGGCGCAAGCGAAAAAGGCGCGTGGGCCCGCCCTGGCGGCGACCCGAGGGCCTTTTCCCGCCGTTTCTTGACGCTTTTCCCTCGCATCTCTCCCGCTCGCTCGCCTTCCTCCCGTCATTCTCTCCCTTTCTCCTGCCAAACCCCCTCCAGCTCGCCTTTCAGTCGCCGCCATGCCGCCGAAGAAGTACGCCATGCCGCGTGCAGCGGCAACCACGACTGGCACCGTGGCCCAGCCGAAGCAGAGGAAGCCGAGGGCGCCGCCATCGAAGCCACCGGGCATGTCGAGCGCCGAGTGGAGGGTGGAAGTTCAGCGACGCGACGCAGTCACCATCGACCGACGGAACAGGGCCATTGCCAAGAAGGCCCGTGACAACGCGGCGCGTGCGGCGGCGTCTTCCTCGTCGGTCGACCACGCGGGGATGATGAATCCACCTGCCGTCAGCCACGCCCAGTACGCGCCCTGGGGACAGCAAGGCGTCGGCTCTCCATAGGGATCGTCGTCGCCCGGCTACGCCGACGGCGATGCGCACGGGGGGTTCAACCCAAACGTGACCTTCCCTCATGGCCACCCCGCGACGCGCACACCCTCGCCTGCCGTCGTCGGCGTGCAGTACCCTCCATACAACTACTCGCCGCCTGCCGCCTACGCGTCCACACCGACGCCCCATCTCTGACGTGGTCCGCTACCCTTCTCGCACCTCGGCGACGCAGACGACACAGGAGCCGACATGGACGACATCATCGCGACAGGATCGACCGCGGCCGCCGCGTCTCCCGGGTTCACCACCCAGGACGAGGTAGTGGATCTCAACGGCGGCATGGAGGCCGAGCTCGGCTACGTCTACGGCGAGGACGCGCACGAAGCGCAGGAACCCGGGGAGGAGGAGGAGGACGAGGAGGAGGAGGAGGAGTCGGCTCCTGTTCCGATGAAGGGGCGCTAGAAGAAGAAAAGGCGGGCGGCTAGGTCAGGCGAACCGCGCATCAAGTGGACGTCCAAGGAGGAGGAATGCCTCGCCGAAGCATGGAAAGTCGTCTGCCTCGACCCGACCACCGGCGCGAACCAGAGCTTGGAGACGTACTGGGACCGCATCAAGGCCGAGTTCGACGAGCGGAAACTCGTCGACCCGTACTTCAAAGGCGTCTACATGCAGCGCGGCTCCAAGGCGATGGCGAACCATTGGGGGCGTGTCTAGTTGGCGTGCAACAAATGGCATGGAATCGTCGAGGAGGTCGCGGCTCGCCCGGAGAGCGGCGCCAGCGTTGAGGATCAGGTACGCACGCCGTTCGCCCGCATATATTCGTCGGCTGCGCCCGCCGCCCGCCAACTGTTTGTTCCTCCGCGCAGCTGCTGCGTATGTTTGCCATGTATCGGGACGACAACCAAGACGCCGACTTCAAGCACCTCCACGTCTACAAGCGCATTGACAAGTGCGAGAAGTGGGCGGAAGTCCGATGTGCCCTCGACAAGGCCAAGGAGACATACAAGCCGGACGCGACGACTCCGGGCGCGAGTGAGGGGCGGCCGGACGGCCACAAATTGGCAAAGAAGGGGAAAAACGCCGACGCGGCAACCGCGCGAGTGCAGGAGTCCATCGAGCATTGCCTCGCCGACGCCCAGGCCCGGGCCGTCCTACGTGAAGAGAAGACCGAGGCGTGGTGGTCGTCGCTGATGAAGAACAGTGCCATCAAGCTCGACCTGCTCCGGACGAACGTCGCCGCGAAGAAGAGGAACACCGACATGGCTTTTCTGGTGGGCGGGGCGGACATGCTCCAGAGCGACGACGAGGAGCTCAGGGCGTGGTACATGGCGGAGCGCGGCCTCATCCTGAATCAGATGCGGACGGCAACGCCGACGACGCAAGCTCCCGCGCCCACGACCACACGGACACCAAGCCCGAACGACGCCTCTACGTCGCCGCCCAGCAGTACCGAAGCCGCGCCGACACAGCCCAGCACCGAAGCAGCTCCGACACCGCCGAGCCCGCGCACGCCGACTCCGCCAACGCCTGGAGCCGACCCCGCCGAGTGAATCATGCACGCGAACTTGCGGCGTGCGACACTCTGTTTTTTGTAACGCCAGACTACGTCCAATCGCCGGATTTGTGGCGTCTTTTAAGGGCGGGAATGATCAAGTTTTAAATTTCCCGCATGCTAGGATCGGCGCTTGGGGGCGTGACTGGAAGCTAGGTCGCTCCTAGGGACCGAACTAGCGCCGGCACGCCCCTAGGCCGCTCTATTTAGGCGTCCTGGGGGGCCGAACGGCTGGAGATGCCCTAATGCAGGCATGGGCCAGATATATACATACATTGATGCACCACTCGCCAACCGTCGCATCAACCATCCGTCCGTCCCAGGGATTTACGTCCTGCGTTGTGCAAAGATTTCTGAAGATTCAAGAGTTTAATGTGATGTGAAACACACGCACGTAGTAGCGGCAGGAGTAAATAACATGCAGACTCTGGATATCGTCGTCTTCCGGCGGATCATCAATGAAGCAGCAGCATGCCGAAGCAAAACGGACATCTTCAAGAGTCAAGACTACTGCTCTCTCATTTTCTTTTTAGTCCGCATATATATAAGTTTTATTCAAAGTTAAAGTATATCTCTACTTTGACCAAATATATAAAAAAATCAACATTTATAATGCCAAATCAATATAGTCAGATTCGTTATGAAATGTACTCTCATAGTACATATATTTGGTAGTGTTGTAGTTGAGTACCACGGCAACGGGTCCGGGTCAAATCCATTTCAAACCCGAGACCTTTTCTTCTAGCCGCAGTAGAGTTGAGTCACTCCGCGACACTCACCAGAAGCAACAGAAAAAAGCTACCACTTGGCAGTAAAGCAGATAAACTCTACACTTTTCTGTCTGCCGAGACCGATGAACCGATAATAATAATAGACTAATAATCTAGGAGTAGATCCAAAGAGCTGTTGAGGAAACGGGATATGCAAAGCGAAAAAGGTCAAGATTTGCATAGACACTTGGAGATTCAGATCGTGCGAGCGAGAGCGACCAAAGCAGGTGCATCCAACGCTCCAACGTTCACATTCCTCCCCGACCAGCTCCAGTATTTTACCGCTCACACCGGCCACCTCACTCCCTCCCGAACGCTCAGACCAACCGAGCCAAGCCAGAGACCGTTCCTCGGACGCCGTGCCCACCTCCCTCCTCCCTCCGTCCTCGAGCTCGACACCCCACACCTCACCTCGCCTCGCCGCTCAGCTGCCAACCAGAAGCACGCACGGCCACGGAGTGAAGCGAGCAAGCAGCACAGCGCGAGGAGGAGCATGACCGTGGCGCAATCCTAGCTGCCCGTCTCGTCTTCTTCCACGGCCGGACCGGACCGCGGCAATGGTGGCCGGCAGAGTCAAGGCGGCCATGGGCTTCCAGCGCAGCCCGGCCACGCCCAAGACCTCCTCCACCACCACCTCCTCGCGCAAGTCGGCACCGGCACCGGCGCCGTCGCAGAACACCGCCCACGTCCCGGCGGCGGCCCGGCCGCAGACGCCGACGCCGGGCCGCCGGCCCTCGGGTTCACCGGCCCCGCCAAGCTCGGGGGGCAAGGGCGGCGGCAGCTCCTTCGCGCGCTCCTTCGGGGTCTACTTCCCGCGCTCCTCCGCGCAGGTGCAGCCGGCGCGCGCGGCCTCGGCGCCGGCAGAGGTTGCCGAGCTCGCCCGCCTCGTCGAGGAGCTGCAGGAGCGCGAGTCCCGCCTGCGCACCGAGCTGCTCGAGCACAAGATCCTCAAGGAGACCGTCGTCATCGTGCCCTTCCTCGAGACCGAGCTCGCCGCCAAGAGCAGCGAGCTCGGCCGGTGCCGGGACGCCATGTCACGGCTCCAGGCCGAGAACGCACGGCTGCGCGCCGAGCTCGACGCCGCCGTCGCCAGTGTCGCGAGCAAGGAGCAGAGGATTGCCGAGATGGAGAGGCGGATGGCGGAGATGGCGAGGCCGCAGCGAGGTGGCGCCGACGATTGCTCGTCGTCGGACGGCTCCATGGCGGGAGGAGGCGACACGGCGGCCAAGCGAGCGAGCAAGCCCGTTCCCCCTCCTCCACCACCGCCTCCGCCGCCGCCAATGCCGACACGCGCCAAGCCCAAGTCCTACTTCCCCGGCTCCTCCCGTGCCTCGCCGGCCAACTCCTCCTCGTCCGGCTCGTCCACGCCGTCCTGCTCCTCCGACACGGCGGCATCCACGGGCCGCAAGCCGCAGCTCTCGAAGCTGCCCCCGATACCACCGCCACCGCCGCCGGCCCCACCGTCAATGCCGACGCGAGCAACCCGGAGCGCGAGCTCGTCGCCGTCGACCTCAAGCGGCGCCGCGCCGGCCCCTCCGCCCCCGCCACCCCCGCCGCCCCCTTCTGGCCCGTGCGTGCGACGCGTCCCGGAGGTGGTGGAGTTCTACCACTCGCTGATGCGGCGCGACTCCAAGAGGGACTGCGGCGGCGGCGCATGCCCCGAGGCCGGCGGCACGGGCGGTTCCGGCGCGGCGAACGCCCGGGACATGATCGGCGAGATCGAGAACCGCTCCTCCCACCTCATCGCGGTAAGCCAAGCCCAAAAATCCACCCAAAAGAATCCCACATTTACATTTCCCTCCCGTTTAATTTCATTTGTTCCAAATCATCATCGTCGCGTTAGACAAAATCTGAAACCGAAAAAGGGTTTCACGAAAGCCGACGCGGAGTAGCTGCCAACTGCTAGTTGGATGGGTGAATCAAATCAATCAATCGCCGATGAGAGTGGTTGCTTTGCACGCGGTGCGGAACAAGAACGCAGCACCAGAAAGTTATCGTCTTTTGGGGCGCCAACTGTGCACGCTCACAGGCACATACAGATGCAGATAAATGCGGCTGAACAACACACAGATAAATACAGAGGTGAAAAGAAAGAAACATGGGCCTTTTTCCAGGCTCGTCTTTCTCGAGCTCGCCACCCCGCGTTCCATGGAGAAGCCCACCTCCTCACGCACGCACGCGTTCGTTTCTTTCTTTCTCTTGGATTTTTGTGGTTTTTGGAGGAACTCAACTCAGTAAGATAGGACAATTCGGTTGGGAACAAAAAAAAGAAGAGGGAAAAACAATGGCAGCATTGGTAAGGTTGCAGTGGATCCGGGAAAAGTTGCTCTTGTCAGACTGGCTCGTAGGGCCCAGGGAGCACGCTGACCAGAGAGAGACTTTCTTCTTTTTTCAAATATCATTACCGGTAGTGCCAACTGCTGGAGGGGAGCGGTCAGCAGCGGCACAGTCTCGTGGACCTGTCTGTCTACTAGCCGTTGGAGCCAGGTGCTGAGGCTTTGACCGTTGCTTCGCGCCATTTCCTCTCGAGAGCCGCGTGAGGAGAGTTTGAAACTTTGATTTGAAATCAAACCATGTGCCACTGCTCCCCTAAAAGTTCTTGATCATGCTTTTTTAGACTGATCTGCTTCTTGATCATGCTTGGATTGATGGGAGTAATAATTAGTTAAGCCTGACGAACTGTTTGATGTGTGGGGGGTTGCAGATCAGGTCGGACGTGGAGAGGCAGGGCGACTTCATCCGCTTCCTCATCAAGGAGGTGGAGGGCGCCGCGTTCGCCGACATCGACGACGTCGTCACCTTCGTCAAGTGGCTCGACGTCGAGCTCTCACGCCTGGTACGTGCTAACCAAGCTCGCCTGCGCCCTCCGTCGTCCCAAGTTCAGTGAATCTTGTCAAGGGCTAGGTGACTGATGCATTTTCAATTCCAGGTGGATGAACGGGCGGTGCTCAAGCACTTCGACTGGCCGGAGCAGAAGGCGGACGCGCTCCGGGAGGCGGCTTTCGGCTACCGCGACCTCAAGAAGGTCGAGGCTGAGGCGGCGGCATTCTGTGACGATCCCCGGCAGCCCTGCGCCTCTGCTCTCAAGAAGATGCAGGCCCTGTTTGAGAAGTAAGCCGTTCTCTTCCTGTACTATCATGCATCTTCTTCTACCTATGAGCAAATGACCAGCTTCAATCTGCCTTCTGCTTGCCCCTGTGCTCATCATCGTTCATGGTTGTTGGCAGGTTGGAGCATGGGGTGTACAGCCTGTCTCGTGTGCGCGACGGCGCCATGAACCGCTACCGAGGGTACCAGATCCCATGGGAGTGGATGCAGGACACCGGAATTGTCAGTCAGGTAAATTCAGTTATCTAGTAGCACATGACTTACAGACAAACAGATCAATCATTCGAACAAGCATAATTTCTTGTTAGAACCTAGCCCAAGTATAGAATGATGCACTAGGTACAAAGGCACCAATATAGATCAATCATTTGAATGCTATTAGCTATATGGCACATGGTCTTGGCACCAAGATGCTGCTGATTTCGGCGCATTGAGAATGCTATGGCTTGTGTCGGTGTTCGAATGTAGTGAATTTGTTTTCGTTTTTTGCAGTAACTAGTGTCAAATAATAATAGTACCACCTTCTGAAACAAAGACGCAAATCTGAACACACTGATCATATTGGTGCTAGAATTTTCTTTTACCTTATTTACAACCGTTAGAGGAAATTAATCAAAAAGGCAAACAAATGGCATCAAGCCATCTAACTATTGGTCCTAGATACTATAGTTCTTTATGTAGCAGATGGATTTTCAGTAGGATAGAATATTTTGAGTTGATCCTGGGTATGTGCAAGTGTACCCAATATCTCTTCATTTGTCACTGCTGCTGCTACTAGGCTAATATTCTCATTCATAAACTTTCTGAAAAATGTCCTTTGCGTACCTGCTACATGTGCATTGTCTCCATTGAGATTCCGCTCTTAAACTAGGCAATGATCCTGGTCTGCAACTTTGGGTAGGAAAATGTTTGTTTTTCTAGGTACCGCACAAATTAACTGGATGAAAAGCTTTGTAAGCTGAGCAAGTGCAGCAAGTGACAGTCACCACTAGTTTCTGTGAACAAAATGGCATTCGGTTGACAAGTTGTGTGTCTTGATGCTGCAGATCAAAATCCAGTCAGTGAAGTTAGCAAGGAAGTATCTGAGAAGGGTTTCCTCCGAGCTCGAGGCCACACAGGGCGGCCCCGACGAAGAAGAGCTCATGCTCCAGGGAGTCCGATTCGCCTTCAGAGTACACCAGGTACACCCCCCAGCTCCTCCATTTTCTCTTACACTCACTCTATCCCCATTTTTGGACATGGTACTCATTCATGTTGCTTCATGCAGTTCGCTGGCGGATTCGACGGCGACACGATGCGGGCCTTCCAGGAGATCAAGGAGAAGGCGAACGCTCTCCAGTCGCAGCGGGATCAGCAGCACCTGCAACAGCAAAGGCTCGCCGCTGGCAGAAGCTGAGACCTGAGAGTACCTACCATATACTATTCGTTGTCAGAGGAAAGTTCATATGTTTCCTGTAACGAAAACACTTTCACAAAATTTATCATCAATGAACACTTCTTTGCTCTCACTGAAATCTTCCAGAGTCAGTGTGTTTGCTATAACTTGTGAACTAATACCCGAGAACATGGATGCGCGATCATGTGTAGATGATATGTTGCTATCTGAATTTACACGCTAAGATGAAAATCAGTGGCAAATTTTGACAAGCTAGAAAGAAACATAGAAAGAGAACTGAGCACTCTGCACATTGTTCAGCAAGGCAGGCTCTTGGAGCTAGAGCTGGCCACTAGCTGCTTGGCGTTGGTCATGTCCACGGACGCCGTGGCTCGCCGCATGATGGACCTCATGTTCATGTCCAGGCTCTGCTTCACTATCCTGTCCACGGCGCTCCGGCAAGCCTTCGTCCCGTCGGCACCACCGTCGTTGCCATGGCACGCTTCCATGCGCGGGCCGGAGTGCGCCCTGATCCGGTCCTGCCCGTCGTCCTTGAACCACTGAAGGATCTTGGCCGCCCTGCTCCGCGCGAGGGGGCTCCCGAGCAGCGACACCTCGAGGAGCGCCTGCACGGCGCCGAGCTGGCGCATCCGCCGCAGCAGCGCGCGGCCGCCGCCGCCGCCGTGCGCGAGCGCCATGACCAGGTACGTCGCGTGCTCCTGGCACCCCGCGCTCTCGTGCCGCGCCATGGCCTCCACCAGCGCCCTGGGCGCCTCCTCGTCCTCCGCCATCTCCCGCCTCCCCGCCGCGCTCGCCGCCGCCACGTCGGCGAGGACAGCCATCGCCGCCTCCGCTGTCGTCTCCGTATGCTCCATCAGGGAGGGCGCCAGGAGCGCGCGCACGGCGCCGCTGGTGACCACGGCCCGGACGTGCTCGAGCTTGGCGGAGAGGTTGCGGAGCGCGGCCAGGCACGCCAGCCTCGTGTCGGCCGGGACGTCGGCGGCGCCGAGCGTTGCGACGAGGAACGGGAGGAGGTCGGCCGTGGAGAGCGGGAAGTCGGTGTTGGCCAGCGAGGAGACGGAGAGGAGGAGGAGCGCGAGGTCGTGGCTTGTTGACAGGTCCATGAGCTTCGGCAGCTTCTTGAGAAGGCCGGCCTTCACTATGTGCACCTTGTTTCTGAAAACCAAAAATCAACAATGGCATGCTTCTTCAGAGGATCAACCATGCCACAATCACACAAGACAAGTGCTGAAAATGAGATTAATAGTTCTAGCATCTGCTGAGCACAAGATCTCTTATGCGCGTGGTTAGATTTATTTTTTAAGAAATTTTGATGGAAAAAATACGAGGAAGAAGAACTGATTGAAAAATGTGGGAATGGGATTAATGCACCAAACACTATTTGGATCAACCGATCAAGCAAATTACCAGCGAGTAGATGGGTTCTGCGTGCATAGACTCTTGTGGTCTTCGTGCACAGCTGGGATTCGTTAGGCAGGCGAGTTGGCGCCACGGTTTTGAATTTCGGTTTCAGAAAGATTTAGTTCCAGCGGTTTCGTTTTGCATTTGGGTCAAAGGACCGGAACAGCGGTGATTTGAAATTCAACATTTTTTTCTGGATTTTTGAAATTCATTTGAATTCTTGTGCGCGACTGAAACGCAAAACGAAATCGCTGGAACTAAATCTTTCAGGAATTCATTTCAATTTTCTGTCAATATCGTTGAAAGTGAAAACCCTTGTCGATCACTGTCGTATCGTGCACTTGAGTCTCACCACTACCTCAACTGAAGCACGATGTCTGTGTTCGTGGTGGCCATGCAAAACTGAGTGCAGGGTCTCCATCATCATAACATCCACTTGCTCTGGCCTCTGCTTGACATATCTTATCCAAACGGAGAACATGTGTTACTATAGTTAGGCAGGATTTTCCATGGAGGGATAAGAGGAAAAAGGGAAGGAGAATAGCACTTCATATAGTAGTAGTACATTATTAGATTGTTGGCACAGTTTGGTATGTAGCGTCGCAAGTCAAATTGCAGCAACCCTGCTGCCAAACATTGTACCTACGTCTGGCCTGCCTAATCATCCAACGAACTACTACTAAAATGAATTATTGTATGCAGAGTCAGATAGAGTGCTGACATTTCTTCTCAAAGCCAACATGTGATTCTCTGATACCGCAGCTAATCCAACACTAGGTTCCAAGAAGAACAGCCAAAGGTTAGCACGGGCCCCTCGCCTAATATGCAAGGAAAATGCTGTGCATGTTGAGGAATTCTTGTGGGCGACGACTAATTGTGCATGGCGACACTGACTGCAGAGCATGTGAAAAAACTGTGTCATTGTCAAGGCTGGGTTAGTGCTTTCCGTGGAATCATACTAGAAGGAGAAAAAGAAGATCACATGTGAAAAAACTGTGTTCATGTCGGGGAGCATGCGAGAACGACCATGATACACTGCTCGGTCGGTTGATTTCTTGCTAATTCACCGGACGATTTGCACGGGGAAGATCAATGGGCAGGAGACCGATCGTATCATACTGGACACAGCACAGCACGGCATGGCGCGCGACAACTCACAGCAGCAGCGATCTAGGAGGAGGCAGTGACTGACTGACCTGTGGGTGCCTCTGGCGAGCTCGAGCAGCGCCCGCGCGGCGGCCAGACGTGCACCGGCGCCTGCCCCGGCGTCCGCGAGCATGGACACGAGCGGCGGCACGACGCCGAGCTCCGGGAGGGCGCGCTTGGTCCGCTCGTCCGACCGCGCCAGCCTCCCGACCTCCCCGGCCGCTTCCGCCCTCTCCACCTCCGACGCGGCGCCGAGGCTCAGCCGCCTCACGGCCCTCCTCATCGCCGCCCCGTCGCCGTCTCCTGCGGTCGTCGCCGCCACCTCCCCCATCGTCCACGCGAGGGTGCACCAGAGTTCCGGAGGGTACGTGTTTTCTGGCGGGGGAAGAAGAAATGAAAGTTGGGTTGGGTTCGGCCGACGTGTAGAGCAGAGCACCTGGGTGGGCCGTGGGCGTGGGTGGAGAGGGAGGGTTTAGGCATGCACGGTAGCACGAAAAGGCTGGTTGATTATAAGCGGCGGCGCGCCGCCATGACCGGCCGGACAGCTATCGTCGCGCCTGGGGGTGGTACGTGGCCGTGCACTACGACCGATCCGTGCGTGTGGCCTTGTGGCCTGTGCTCCTGTCGCGCGCAGATTAACCAGTGCTTGGCTGCCTGAACGGCGACGTTTAACCATGTGTTACCTGAACTTAGGCACCACAAGGACAACCAAGATCAAAAAATAAATAAATAATTGTAGCACTGCTTCCTCTGTTTTCGGCTCAACCAGCTCCAAACTTGTGTACGTGTGGCATTCATAACGTGGCCGAACTCGACGGCCTCCTGTCGTACAAGGCCAGCTGTTTCCGCTACGGAGGAAATCAAGTTCAACTCAAATGCAACCATCGTGCACTCCTATGTAGAGTAGTACACAATTTGATGGTGACTAGAGAGCCTCCCTACGGTGGTTCATTATGCTTCAATTCATTTCTAGATTGCTCGAACCAGCTGATAAATTAAGACATAAAATAGCTCGAGAAATCATCGCACGCATGATATATATGGAAAAAAAGTTAAGGTGACGGCGTGACTCTACGTACGTACGTGGAGCAACACAATGTATAGTGCACGTCAACTTCTCATCGACGTCAGGTCAGACCCATACCTCGATCTAGCTTGAGGATGCATGCTGGCCACTGATTCGAGAAAGAAAACGCTCTGGTACGTGGACGAGGTGGTGATCGCATCGTGGCAAGGTAGGGCGGCTCGGTCGGTGGAGCATTAACCCAGCTAGCGAGCGTACGTGAGCACACTTGATTAGTGGAGTGCTTGGACTAAGCTCCCGTAGCCTGTTATTTTTATTTTTATTTACCATGCGTAGTGTGCTTTGCGAGCATGTGCTGGACCTTACCGATGGATAACCGTACGGATACGTGCATGCTTTATTTTCTACTCCATCCGTAAGTAGTAGTGATTTAAACACTTTTATATTAGTTTACTAAGGGAGTATTTAGCAGTTTTTTTTTCTTTCATATTTTTACTTAATTTAACTAGGATATGGCTAGATCTCAGCCACTGAAACTCGTCAAGTGACACACCATATAAAAAAGAAGCAAGAAAAAACTAAAAGAAATGTTTGCACGGATCTCAATGTAAGATCACACAAATATAGCATCCAGTGAGACTTCCCGATTTAATTAAACTTGTGTCATTATTTAACTCTTAATTTTTTTAGGCGCTTTCACCGATCGGACCCACTTATTCGTCTTGAATTGGCATTGCCACACAGATGGTTTTATTTGGCCAACCGATTTTCTGTTTGGTTCGTTTCGGTTTTCATCGTTGTTGTTGACTCATTCATCAAGGTAGTTACCGCAACAACTTCAGATGACCGGTTGCTTGCCGCTCCAGCGGAGTGCCGCCAACGCGTAGTCTCTTCTCGCCACTGATCTCTTCACCTTCTCTCAAAACCCTAACGACTCCCGACCAATGTGTCCTCCTCCCTGGTCATCGTATTTTCCGAGCCAGCGGAGACAACAGAGACATCGTCACCAACGAAGTCACATCCATTGCGCAAGAAGGGAAAGGGGAGGGCGGTCCTTGTCATGATGGCGATGGCACCAACGACCATCCCTTCACCGGAGTAGCAGAGGCGAGACAACACGGAGGATAAGTGCGACCGTGGTCCGTAGAGTCAGGATGCTCCAAAAGCTGAAGCGCATGAATGGTGTTAGGCTCAATGAGATCGGGAAGGTACCCTTGATGGAATCACCACCTCCTCTCCATGATGCGAGCAATTGAGGGAAGCTCTAGGAGCACGATTGATCCTACCGCCGTTGTAAATTCCAGACAATGCCATCTGCAGATAGCAAACACGTGAGAGATTCGGATGGTGCACATGGCGATAATTTACCTAGGTTCAGGCCTTTGGATTGAGGTAAGACCCTACTTCCAGCTTGTCTACAGTGCGAATCTCACCTCGCATCAGAACTAGGTTTTGTATTTAGAAGGTGGTTGATCGTAGATCGTCTAGGGGTTGAAGCCTCAGATGTCTTGCTAGAATAAAGTGTCTATTTGGGGGGGAGGGGGGGTCCCTGTTGGGCCTTATATAGGTTAATGAGACAGGGTTAAAAGTCATGAGTGGGTCAAAGAGTTGTCTTATGCTCGCGTTTGGTAGAAATCCGGGTCAGTTAGTACATGTCATATACGAACAGTTCCTAGCATAATACGAAAAAGGAATCTTTGTCTTCTCCCCTAAGGTGGTGGTGTGCTCCTGATTGTCAGTGGACGTAGAGTTGTGGGCTTGAGCCACCCTATCTTTGTTGGGCCACTTCTGACCTACATAGCTACACCCAGAGGCATGGCACTGTCACTCGACTTAGGCATGCACATGGACACTCTAGGACGAGTAGGTGGTCACAACGACAGATAGACGCATTTTTTTTTCCGGATCAAGAGCTTATATTACTCAAACAGATCGATGCATAAATCACCTATGTTTCCTGGAATGCAATGTACATGCTCCTGCACAACCAGGTACCAAGGTCAGTTAATCATTTCCGTTTGGGGCGACCCAAGAGGAAACCCTAGCCGGCCGTCGCAAGCCTTCCCCAACCCTCCAACCCCACCTCTGACGACGTCGGAGGGCGTCGTCAGGCAAAGCCCATGTGGAGTCAGCGGGGCTAGTTTTCTCTTCCTATTGCTTCAGATGGGGAAGCTCGGGACACTAGATTCGATGAAGGCGGGACCAACTTTCTCTTCCTCTCGCTTCAGATGGCGTGGAGCGGGACACTAAATCTGGCAGAGGCTCACGCGGCGGCGGAATGCGCACGCCGGCGAGCTCGGGGCGGCTCGGGCGGGAAGAGTTGTGCCGGCGGAGGTCCGGGTGGAGGCAACGGCTCGATCTGGGGCTTCCTCCATCGGGATCTGGCCTCTGAAGGGGAGGAGGTAGGCTCGCCGGGGCAGCGGTTGGAGGTTTGTAGGTGGTTGCGGCTCCTAGAAGAGGGTGGATGGTGGTGGGGTGAGCGCTTGTGCTAGCAGCGCCTCATCTCGTGGCACGTCTGGGTCGGTGGTGCTTCACCCTTCAGCAAGACTCGGGGGTGGTTGGAGGTGGTCTTGGCGGAGGTGGGCTGGCGATGGACACACTTGGCTCTATCCCAATCGACCATGGTGAACGGAGGTGGTTGGATTTGGGCCTAGGTGCCCAGATCTGATGGTGGAATCTTCCTGGCACGATGGTGGTGGTGCGGGCTCGATCCGGGCAGAGCTGAGGTTGCCATGTTCCATATCTGGTTGACTTGGTGGTGGTGGCTGCTGTCTTGTGAGATTCGTCTCCTCCTCCTGTGGTAGTCGGCCTTCTTGAGCAGCTCCAATGGACTTTGGGTTTTGTGATCTTGGGTTAGGAGAATTCTCTACTTCGCGATGTCCGAGGCTGACAACGGCGACGCCCGTGGGCACCGTCCCCTCCCTAGAGGTGTTGCTTTGGCCGTGATTAGACTCCCTCCCTCGTTCGGGGGGAGGGGGCTTGGTACGCCCTCCGAACTAGGCGATGTTGCTCGAGGCATCCTGGTGGCGTGACTTGCTTTGGGCGTGAGCCTCCGAGGTGCAATGTACACGGTCGACGATGCTCTCTCAACAATGTCTTCTCTAGGTCCACCCAGGCCCTGGCCTCCACTTGCCGACTTACTCTTGGCACAGTGAGTGAGGATATGTTGTTGTGTGCTGTCAGCGGGGCTTGATTGCTCTTGGGTTTGCCTACTTGTTATTGGCATGAGGTTTGACTAGGTGGAACATGTATTGGAGTACACGTGGTGGGTGTGGCCCCTACTTCTCCAGATTAGCGTTGTAATAGCCGAAAGACATTTGACCTAGCTTATTCTCGGCTTTTTCCTTCATATGCATCCTTATGTGTATTCTAGATTTTTTTAAAATAATTTTCCATCACCTGATGAAAGCACTAATTAATTGTAAATTCTAGCGGATCCACCGGAAGAAATTACGTTGAACTCAAATAATTTAGTAACCAATTGTACCTGTACCATAAATGGAGGGAGATAAACTGATCACGTTTGTATTATGGTTAGTGGGCTCATGATAGAAAGTCTACGTGACACTGAGTAAAGCACGAAGTCGACCTCACATCGACCAACTAATTATAAGAAAACCTCACATGGATCTGTAGCTGCAGGTCGCAATCTAGCTCGACAATGGATGCACACGCTGATTGAGTTGAGAAAGGAAACGCAAATGCTGCCACTCGGGTGGTGGGCGGCTCGACCGATCGGGTAGGAAAACGGTGGAGCATTAAGCTGTCTATCTATCTTTAGCTTGCTAGTTGTTAGCGTGAGTGTCCACTCGATTAATTAGTGGAATACTTACAAGTGGATATCCATCGATCGTGCAATTAGCTGAGCCTGTAGTTGCGCACGTGCATGCTTCGGCTTCATGTTACGTTTGCTCGTGCAGGTAAAGTCAAAGTGGCTGGCGTGTCAAAGTTTCCAGGAAAGGAAGTTTTGGAGAGTTTTGTGCTTTTGGGCCGAAACCGAGGTTCGGCCTATGATGCGTATGATCTATCTTGATCATCCTTCTTCGGACTATTTACACGCTTTCGGCCATACTATTAATGACAAGCACTAGCCGTTGGAGGGAAGCTCCATCTTCCATCCTCGTGCTGATTTTTCTTTTGAAACATGCCAGCGCGTACTCACCTAATTCTTCTATAAAAGTAAACCGAGGGATTCTTCCCCTCCGGTCTCGAAAAAAAAAACATGGTAGACACGCTCACAATAAGTATGTATGCTCAAACTTATGAACACAACTTTAAAATAAGCAATCCCTCCCCTATACATGTAC